AAAGGGGTTGCGACCCACAGGTTGAGAACCACTGCTTTAGATCATTTGGTCCTGATAGCTCAGTGCGTTTTAGTACACAGATACCTAATAACCTGTGAAAAGTAGAGGCAAGGCCCTGCTGAGACGATGGGAAAGGGGACCCAAGTCACAGGCTACTGCAGAGGAAGGCAGACCCAGAGACACGGTGACCAGTGCAGGGGGAGGGGCAGCCGGCTTCAGGACACAGTTTGCACAGAATACCTCCCTCAATGGTGTCACAACTATTGGAGGGGAGAGGGCTGGAGGAGCTCTGCCTCTTTCCCTTTCCAGTTTGTGCTCCAAGTCTACCTGGAGAAAGAGCTTGAGAATAGGCCAACAGGCCCCTCTCCCTCTGTTCATTCCCAGGCCCAGGGCCCCCCTGCACCCCTCCCCCCAAACCTACCTGCCAGCTTCTCAGGAAGGCCTGGAAGTCTGGGTGCAAGGAGCTGCAGGCACAGAAGGAGCATGACAGTCCAGCCCAGCCCCTCTGGCTTTGTCTCCCCTGCCAGCCCTGTCCCCCGGATCAAGTGGCGCAAAGTGGATGGCTCCTTGTCCCCTCAGTGGGCCACCGCGGAGCCCACCCTGCAGATCCCCAACATCAGCTTTGAGGATGAGGGCACCTACGAATGTGAGGCGGAGAACTCCAAGGGCCGCGACACCGTCCAGGGCCGCGTCATCGTGCAGGGTACAGAGTGGATACCCTCTGCCCCCACCTCACCGGTCCCTGAGAAAACAGTCCTAAAAGTCAGGGAGGAGGCTGGGAGGTCCCTTGCTTGAGCCCTTCTGCCCCAGGGCTGCAACGGCTGTGGGAAGAGAGGCGGCTCGTGCCAGCTCCCAGCGTCAGTCCGGGGTGCAGAAAGCACATGGAAGTCTTTATAATGATTTAAGTCACTAAGACGGCCCCTGGCACAATCGCAGAATGCCAGCGCTTTCGGGCGCCTCCTTCCTCATTCCCTCCCCGGGTCCTCTCCATTACGGAATGCTGGTGGCGCCCTCTGCTCCCCACAATAGGTACTGCAGCCTTGATTTCACCCTCTATTTAATGAGCTGGAACCCCTCTTGGTTCACAGGTTTTCTTTCCCTTGCTCCCCACAGCTCAGCCCGAATGGCTCAAGGTGATTTCTGACACTGACGCTGACATCGGTTCCAACCTCCACTGGGGCTGCGCAGCTGCTGGCAAGCCCCGGCCCACTGTGCGTTGGCTGCGGAACGGGGAGCCTCTGGCCTCCCAGGTAGGAGACATGGGATTTCCTCTCACACGTCACCACCACCATCTGCGCACCTGGTCCCTTTATCCCCCAAAGCCTCCCCTACAACACTGGTAGCCCCTCTGGTAGCTGTTGAGTGTGTCGTAGTGGGGTCCTAGGAGCTTCCTGCCATCCCAGAGTTACATGGTCACAGATTGGCCAACCTGTAAGAGCCTAAAGACCTGAATCCAGGCACAATTCAGCTACAGAAAAAATGATGTGGTGGGAGTGGCTCATGCTTTAGCTTCAGAGAGGCCTGGGTAATCTCTGAGTCCTGAGACGTCAGGTGGCCCTGAGATGGGACTGGACAAATGAATTGCATCCTTGAGGGGCCATCAGCCTTGAGTCTCCACCATGCCCACCCCTGCCAGCCTCTCCTCCCTGGGCCTCCAGAGATCCTGATCCCCTCACCCTGCCCTGGGCCTGGCTCTTTTGCACAGAACCGGGTGGAAGTGTTGGCCGGAGACCTGCGGTTCTCCAAGCTGAGCCTGGAGGACTCGGGCATGTACCAGTGCGTGGCAGAGAATAAGCATGGCACCATCTATGCCAGTGCCGAGCTGGCCGTGCAAGGTAAAGGGCCCCCAGGGAGGCAGGGGACATCTCTGAGAACACCTCAGGTGGGGGCTTTAGGAATTCTGAATTTAAGCATTGCTATATATATATACACACACACAGAGGCAATTTTCCTTGGTTTTCTAGTGGCTTCTGAGCAGGAGAACTCAGAGATGTAAGAAAGGAGATGAGATACTAGCTTGAGAGCTCCTCGAGGACAGAGTCTCTGCTTTGTTCTATGTCTGCCACAAACAAAATAAATGTTTGCTGCAGTGAAAAAAAGGGACAAAAGTCAGTGAAAACCAAATCAATCAGAGATCTGTGTTCAACCCAGTCCATTCAGCTCTGTCAGCTTTAGCAAGTTACTTTGTTTCTTTTTTCTTTTTTTTTTGCAGTTTTTGGCAGGGGCTGAGCTTTGAACCTGCCACCTCCAGTATATAGGGCCGGTGCCTTACTCCTTTGAGCCACAGGCGCCGCCCAGTTACTTTGTTTCTGCATCTCACTTTCTTGATTGATAAAATCTGAGCCGTAACAGCCCTGCCCTCCTGAGCTATTGTGAGGAGCAAATGATATGGAAGAAGTAGAAAGGCCTGCCCCTCATATCACAGGTGCCCACTAAATGTCGGTTAATGCTCGCTGAGCCTGTTTCCTCATCCAAGTGGATGCAGTGATACCTACCTCTTCGAGTTGGAGTGAGCCTTAACCAAGACCTATTCGTTCATTCAACCAATATTTACTCAACACCTCCTAAGGAATGAACATGGAAGATCAGGTCTCTGACTTCCAGTTGTTTATAATCAAGTAGAGGGACAGGGAAAAAGAAAACACAATCAAGTAATGAAGTAATTTCAGATAGCCATAAAAAAAATACAGTATAAAGAAAATCCAGGCTCGGTGCCCAAGTTCAGTGGTTAGGGCACCGGACACATACACTGGAGCTGGTGGGTTCGAACCCAGCTGGTGCCTGCCAAACAACAATGACAGCTACAATAACAAAATAGCCGATGGTGGGTGCCTGTAGTTCCAGCTACCTAGGAGGCTGAGGCAAGAGAACCACTTGAGCTCAAGAGTTTGAGGTTGTTGTGAGCTATGATGCCACAGCACTCTACCAAGGGTGACAAAGTGAAACTCTGTCTCGATAGAAAAAAAAGAAAAGAAAATCCAGGAGAGGGATGGGATAAGGTAGGGCCAGTTAGATTGGGTGGCTGGAGAAGCTCTCTCGGAGGAAGTCAGATTTGGGATGTGAGTGTTAAGACAGAGCCAGCCATGTGAAGATCTGGAGGAACTGCGGGCAAAATTGATAGCAAGACCAAAGGGCTGGAGGCGGGAAAAGACTTTGTCATTTCAAAGGACAAAAAAGTGGTCAGGTGGGTGGAGCATAATGAGTCTTTAAAAAGACATTCCCAGCTGCTGGGTGGAGAAGAGATCGTAGGAGGGAAGCACAGAAACAAGACCAACCGGGGGCCTGTCGATAGTCCAGGCAGGAGGTTTGGCTTAGGCCAGAGCTACGGCAGCAGGCATGAGAAAGGGATGAATTCTGGATGTGTTCTGCAAGTGGTGCTGCCTGGAGTCACTCATTGGTTGGCCTTGGAGAGTAGACCAGGTGACCTCTTAATTTAGGGTGATGGGGTGTGTTGTGACTCCATGGGTGACTAGATTTGGCTCTCCCCTTTCCTTCCAGCACTTGCCCCTGACTTCAGGCTGAGTCCTGTGAGGCGGCTGATCCCTGCAGCCCGTGGTGGAGAGGTCATTATCCCCTGTCATCCCCGGGCTGCTCCGAAGGCTGTGGTGCTCTGGAGCAAAGGCACTGAGATTTTGGTCAACAGCAGCAGGTAGCACCCGTACCCCACCCTGGGCAGTTGCTGCTCCTTCTCGTCCTTGGAGGCTAGTCTCCTTCCTGTGACTACAGTGTGTCCTGGAGTTGGCCAGATCTGCTTTGTCCTTGCTACAGAGTGACTGTAACTCCAGATGGCACGTTGATCATAAGAAACATCAGTCGGTCAGATGAAGGCAAATACACCTGCTTTGCAGAGAACTTCATGGGCAAAGCCAACAGCACTGGGATCCTGTCTGTGCGCGGTGAGGGCTGTGGGTTGGTGAGATCAGTGGTTCCACTGCTCAGGATGGCATCCTCCCCACCATCCTGCTCCCAAGTCTCCATATTGCTCCTAAGTTTGGTGTCAAGGCTACCCCAGGATGCAATATCACTTGGGACCACCCGCTGGCTTCCATTTAGAGTCCAGTCATGCCTCTCTGCCTGTCACACATTCATGGGTGCTGGGGGTCAGGACTTGTGCTGGTCACACCACTTCTTCTCTTTCCTAGGGCTTAGGACAGAGCCTCTCACCCTACCCTGCCGGCCCTGTCTGGGTCTACTTCTTCCCCCACCCACCCAGGGGCCTTATTTTTCTTGGCAGATGCAACCAAGATCACCCTAGCCCCCTCGAGTGCTGACATTAACTTGGGTGACAACCTGACCCTACAGTGCCATGCCTCCCATGACCCCACCATGGACCTCACCTTCACCTGGACCCTGGATGACTTCCCCATCGACTTTGATAAGCCTGGGGGGCACTACCAGAGGGCTAATGTGGTGAGACTTGAGGCCAGAGAGCCCATGGCTGCTCCCTCCTTCCAAATTGACAGATGTCCTTAGCCATCACCATTCCAAAACCTCTCCTTACTCCCTCAGGCCTAGCAAGCTCATCCTTGGATTAATAACCCTGCTTCCTGAATACCACCCAGGAACCATGCATTTAGGAGAGGGATAGGGACAAATCTGGAGCTCTGGGCACCAGAAAGAATCACTCCCACCCACTCCTGTTCTTGTTAGCCTGCCCCCCCAGCACAAATGTAATTGTTAACTTGGACTACTATCGACAGTCTTCTGTAACAAACTGTGTTGTTTAGTCCCCAGTGATACTGGGTGGAGAGTAGCTGATCTCTCCCATTGAATAAACAGGAGAACTGAGCTGCAGAGGGGTGACCAGATGTTACAGAGTAGGGCCCCCAAGCTCTGCCTTGTGGCCCGTGGCCCACTGTATCAGCCAGGGCTGCTTCTGCTGACCTGTTTACCTGCTGTCCTCCGTGTGCAGAAGGAGACTGTAGGGGATCTGAGCATCCTGAACGCCCAGCTGCGCCATGGTGGGAAGTACACGTGCATGGCCCAGACGGTGGTGGACAGTGCGTCCAAGGAAGCCACGGTCCTTGTCCGAGGTGCGGGGATTTCCCACCTCTAACCCCACCCGACCCCCGTAGAGGCTATCTGACCTGCTCTCTCAATCTCCCCTCTTCTCCCTGAAAGCCATGGGCAGAGTTTCTTTCTTTCTTTTTTTTTTTTTTTGAGACAGAGCCTCAAGCTGTCCCCCTGGGTAGAGTGCCGTGGCATTACAGCTCACAGCAACCTCCAACTCCTGGGCTCAAGCAAGTCTCTTGCTTCCACCTCCCAAGTAGCTGGGACCACAGGCGCCCGCCACAACGCCCAGCAATTTTTTGGTTGCAGCCGTCATTGTTGTTTGGCAGGTCCGGGCTGGGGATTCGAACCCGCCACCTTAGGTGTACGTGGCTGGCGCCTTAGCCGGTTGAGCTATAGGCGCCGAGCCCAGAGTTTCTAACAAAAGTCCACTGAGCTGGACGTACCCTGTGGTTCTTCATGGATCCTAAATGAGTAGAATATTTTTCTTCCAAAGCTAAACTCTGAAAAACTTCACTCCTAACCACATGATGAGAGTACTTTGCTGAACCCAGAAGTTTTCAAAGCCTAGCACCGGGAAATCTATACACTCCTCTGTTCAAGGGCCCCTGGGAGCCCCACAACCTGGAGATAGGTGCCTCACTTTCCCTCCTGTGGTGTGTGTGGTGCCCTCTGCTGCCCTGTCTTAGTACTGCACCAGCCCGAGCCTGGCCTAGAGAAGGTTGGCCTGGTTCTGAACCACTGTGCTCTGATCTCCTGGTGTAGGTCCGCCAGGTCCCCCAGGAGGTGTGGTGGTGAGAGACATCAGTGACACCACTATCCAACTTAGCTGGAGCCGTGGCTTTGACAACCATAGCCCCATTGCCAAGTACACCCTGCAAGCTCGCACTCCACCTGCAGGGAAGTGGAAGCAGGTTCGGACCAGTAAGTGTGAGGCCCTGCCTGGGTCACTGCTGATAAGGCCTGGCTGGAGGCAGGAAGGGTCAGGGGTTTGGGGGTTGGGTTTGAGGGCCAGGGCTGAGCTTGGAGCTTCAAAGAAGGACAAGCTTTGCCCTCTGCCAGCAGGGAGCACTCAGGCAGGCGGGGGGACCAGTCACACAGAGATAGGAGAGAGCTGGATGAGCAGGTGCTCAACCTGTACCCTTGAAAAGTTGGTAGGATTATTACTGGAGCAATGAAAATATCTGTGGGGCTGTAGGGGTACACAGAGCATTGATACAGGCAGCAACACAGGGGAGTTGACTCGTTTTTTAGTCATTTCTGAAAGAGGTACTGAGAGCTTAGTATATGGCAGGTACCACGTGAGGGCTGGATACAAAGTGGGATTCGGCTCCAGGGCCTGCCCTCTACATCAGGATGAACAAACAGATGCTGAAACACTAACTCCCTGGTTGCAGATCCTGCGAACATTGAGGGCAACGCTGAGACTGCCCAGGTGCTGGGCCTTACGCCCTGGATGGACTATGAGTTCCGGGTCTTAGCCAGCAACATCCTGGGCACTGGCGAGCCCAGTGGGCCCTCCAGCAAGATCCGGACCAAGGAGGCAGGTCAGAGACCTGGGTGTCCCAAAGAATAATTATCAGGGCAGAGACCCTGGGCCCTGTTATAGGAACCCTCCCAGACCAGCTTCAGTTATGCTGATTCCCAACCCTTCTTGCCAAGCTTCAACTCTAACAGAACAGACTGGAAAGGAACACCAAGCTGGGCCCAGGGCCACTGCGTGGAGAAACTATCCAGTCCAAATTCCTCATTTAAAAACTGGGCAGCCTTACAACTGCGTGTAATTCTTTTAATTTTTAAAAATGGGAAAAAACAGTTTGGAGAAGGGAAAGATCACACTGGCAGAGCTTGGACTGGACCCTACCTAGGACCATAAGGTGGTGGCCAGATGTCTTCCTGGAAGTACATGAGCTGCAGAAATCAGTTGATGTGGAAGATGTGTATGTGTGTGCATGTGTGTGTGGGGTGTGTGCAGGGGCCAAGTAAGCAGCATTTCCAAGCCCTTCTTTAGATGGTTTCTTTGGGAGTAGGAGAAATTAATAATCAGCCCACTGAGCCCATGTCCTCGAGTGAAAGACAAGTTTGTCAGAACCTGAGTAGGGAAGAAAAGGAGGAAGGAGATCTTGAGAGAGGGACAAGGTGCAGGTCCCAGTCAGCATCTGCTGAAAGGCTCCTCCCCACCCGCTGAGCCATTTGCAGGGCCTGGGCTGGGAACCCTGGGATCCTAGGACGTGCAGCATAGAATTAGGACTCTGCCTTCCCTCCAGCAATGCCCAGACCTGCCACACTGGATGTCTTGTCACCCTTAAACATGTTCTCCTATATGCTAAGCCGGCTCTTGCCTCAGCCTCCCAAGTAGCTGGGACTATAGGCACCTGTCACAACGCCTAGCTATTTTTTTTGGCCAGGGCCAGGTTCAAACCTGCCACCCTCAGTATATGGGGCTGGCGCCCTACCCACTGACCCACAGGCGCCGCCTGATCCTGAACTTTTTAGACTAAGAGTCAAATGTGAGGTAGGGAGGGGACTCCTTTATTTTCATGTCCCAGACAGCTGTGATGCAAAGGAAAGGTGATGGGCCTCAGAAGAGCTGGGTTCAAATTCCAACTATGCCACATATTAGCTGTGTGACCTTAGGCAAGTTAATTAAGTGTTCTAGGCCTTAGTGGTTCCGCCCTGAAAAGAACAATAATAATGCCCACCTCATAGATCAAATGGCCACTGTGTTTAAGTACCCCTTGCAAGTTACAAGACCCTAAGATACTGTCATCAGAACCAAGTGAAAAGTCTCCAATTTGCTAGATTCTCTGTAGAAATATTTTGATCCTCAGCCAAGTTACTCCCTACCAAGCTGCATGAGCTGATGAAATAGATTCATGTTCAGCCTTGTTTAATACTAGAGACAATTAGGAAATTAAATCTGCCACAAAAAGAAAAATAGTAATAAAACACCCTGGAACTGTGTTTTTCATTTATTTGGGTTTTTGGGGTTTTTTTTTTTGCATTAATTGCAGTTCTAGGTTATTTGTTCCCCTTAATTTAAAGTAAATGAGTTGTTCTCTGTGATTCAGTTTAAGCTGATAGGGAGTGAGGATGATGATGATCACGTGGGAACATCTACTATATACCAACCACATTCTTGTTTAAAATTTCATTCTCATTACGGCCTTTGAGAGAAACTTGATTATCCTCACAGAGAGGAGAATCAGAGGCTCAGAAAGGTTAAGTAACTTGCCCCAGGAAACACAGCTAGCAGGTGGCAGAGGTGGGATTTGATCTCCAGAGCCCAAACCCAGAAGGAGTGTTAAAGGAGAAAACCAGGGCCCATTTGAAGGGGCATGATCTACAAGCACAGGCTTGGGGCTTTTATTCCCTTGTGGCCCGTTAACAAGCCATATCTATGTCTCTTGGTGCCCAACAGCCCCCTCAGTAGCACCCTCAGGACTCAGCGGAGGAGGTGGAGCCCCTGGAGAACTCATCGTCAACTGGACGGTAAGGGGGCAGGGACACGACCCCTCCTCTTCCTCCCGTCCTAACTCATCTCTCACTTGAGCAGTGAGCAGAAAGGAGCATTGCACAGTTCTGACTCAAAAGCAGACAACTGCCTCTTCTACACCCTGCACCTGCAGCCCCTCACACAGATCCACTGTGGATCAAAACACTGCAGGCACAGGCGTCCCGGGGCCTCCACTTGTGGTGAAGGTTGGGTGGGACCAGAGGATGGGCAGGGAAATGCACCACGGCCCCTTGCCCATGCCACACTCTTGCCCCCCAGCCCATGGCACGGGAGTACCAGAACGGAGACGGCTTCGGCTACCTGCTGTCCTTCCGCAGGCAGGGCAGCACTCACTGGCAGACCGCCCGGGTGCCTGGCGCTGATGCCCAGTACTTCGTCTATAGCAACGAGAGCATCCGGCCTTACACACCCTTCGAGGTCAAGATCCGCAGCTACAACCGCCGCGGGGATGGGCCCGAGAGCCTCACTGCACTTGTGTACTCGGCTGAAGAAGGTGGGTTGCCGTCGGGGCCACCACCTGCCCCCAGCCCAGCCACCTGTCCATAGGAGTGTAGGGTGGAGAGAATGCTGCTCATCCTCCCATCCTCAGCTTAACTCCCAGCAGGAGGTGGGAAAGAGAACTGTGTTCTCAGTCATCAGCCATACTCTGGCCCTTGCTAGCCCTGTCTCCCCTCAGGCCCAGAGGAAGGAGGAGGGAGGGTCTCTGGGAAAAGAAAGGGACCCTGAGGAATCTCTGGGGGCTCCCACTTGGCTTTCATACTGGCCCTGGGTTATCTCCCAAACTCCTAAGCAAAGGCAATCCCAGTTGTGGGCTTCTCATAGGACACAGGGAGGCCCTGGGAGTCGAAATCTTTTCTGTATTGGTCCCCAGAGCCCAGGGTGGCCCCCACCAAGGTCTGGGCCAAGGGGGTCTCATCCTCAGAAATGAACGTGACGTGGGAGCCCGTGCAGCAGGACATGAATGGCATCCTCTTAGGGTATGAGGTGAGCACTTCCCTGGGGCTGGGAGAGAAAGGGGCCTTCAAGGCCAGGTGGGGAGCAACTGACAGCCCACTAGTCATTTCTCTGGAATCCCTTGTACACTCACCCTCCAACTGAGCGCCCAGTCTGTGCAGCACCGTGGGTGCAAACCTCACTAAGAGCCACGCTGATGCCCACTATGGAAGACAGTCCTAGGGACAGCCTTATAGGAAAGGCCTGGCTGGGTGGACCTAGCACTGGAGCTGGGAGGCCAAGGGGAGGAGTGGGTCTGGGAGGCAGCATGGCCTGCTCTTCATGTCAGAGTCCATTTGGCCTGGCCTCCTCTGGATGCACAGAAGACAGTCCCTCCACATATAGACAACTGTCCTGTCCCTGGGGAAGTCTGAGCCCACTGATGACTCCATATGGGGGTACCAGTGGAGTAGGTGAAAAGCAAGAGGGAACAAGAGAAAGAGAAAAGGTGGGGTATAGTGGCTTGTGCCTGTAATCCCAGCACTCTGGGAGGCTAAGGTGGATAGATTGCCTGAGCTCAGGAGTTCAAGACCAGCTTGAGCAAGAGCAAGACGCCCATCTCTAAAAAAATAGCCAGAAGTTCTGGCTGGCGCCCGTAGTCCCAGCTACTTGAGCGGCTGGGGCAAGAGAATTGCTTGAGCCCAATCTGAGGTTGCTGTGAGCTATAATGCCACAGTACTCTACTGTGGGCAACAAAGTGAGGTAGAGAGGAGAGGAGAAGAGGGGAGAGGGGAAAAGGGGAGAGGAGAGGAAAAGGGGAAAGGAAAGGAAGAAAGAGAAGAAAAGGAAGGGAGGGAGGGGAGGGGAAGAGAGAGAGAAAGAAAGAGGAAGGAAGGAGGAAGTGAGGGAGGGAAGGAAGGAAGGAAGGAAGGGAGGGAGGGAGGGAGGGAGGGAAGGAAGGAAAGGAAAGAAAGATCAAGAAATGGTACTGCCTGAGGGAGAATCACCAGGCCAGCCTACTAGTTGTAAATCATTCCAGTGGAGTAAGCTCTAGATTTGAGCAGGATAGCTTAGTCAAGCCACAGTGAGATGATTCCAAATTCTGCCCTTGATTTGGAAGAATATTTAGCTTTCTTACTATTATGATTACCATTACAGTGGTTCTGTATTTACTGGGCAGCCATTGGCAGCTTGCTGGGCGCCAGGGTGCTACTTTACAAGTGTAAATATGCATTTCATAGTGTAGCAGAATTCCCATAGTAGCCCCTGAGTTAATGGGAGGAGGGTGGGTTCCTAGGCCATCCCTAGGTTGGGCCCGTGCACCTTCCTTGGACTGGATACCGAGAGACAGCAAGACTCACACCAATGTGGCTGTTCTCTCTGGGTGTGGTAATCTAGTATCCAGGTTCTGAGACTCCAGACTGAGTTACAAGGACCAGGGTGAATAGGAGAGGAACAGAATGTGTGTGTCAGTGGGGCAGGGCAGCTCTGAAATCCTGGGCTTGACTGCTGACCCTCAGGGAACCCTGCCCTTTTCAGATTCGCTACTGGAAAGCTGGGGACAAAGAAGCAGCAGCCGACCGAGTGAGGACAGCAGGGCTGGACATTAGTGCCCGGGTCACTGGCCTGCACCCCAATACCAAGTACCATGTGACCGTGAGGGCCTACAATCGGGCTGGCACTGGGCCTGCCAGCCCTTCCGCCAATGCCACAACCATGAAGCCCCGTGAGTCTGTCTGCTTGTGGT